GCTGATTTTCACCAACGTATTGCCAACAAAGAATGGTAGGTCAATAAAGAATATGAAAGTAAATGATGTCAAATACCTGACAAACTGCTAATGAATAACATGATCTTTGGGTTGGGTAGCCATTGTGTAGAAAATACACCAAGGAAAAATATTATTTAGTGCAGACAACCTATGGGAAGAAAAGCAGCATGCTTTGAATATACGAGTACATTATGCACCCAGCTCCTGTGTTGCTGTGTTTATAAATTCCATAGCAAAGTTCCTGCAGTATTGTAAATAATAAAATAATCTTCTGAAACCACTTTACCTGGTTTTGTAGATGATACCCCTTAGCAAATACTGGGTGTACGTAGAATTCTCATCCTATCAAAATTTAAATTGCAGACTGATGTTACACAGTGAGCTGTGTCACACCTTTTAAAAGTAACAAAGAATATCAATGGAAGGCAAGAACATCAGGGGGAAAAAAAGAAGAGAAACCACACTATTTAAATTTGAAGAAGAACATATCTGACAGTTGAGTGAACAAAAAGAATAGGCATCAAAGATGTCTGCACCTTGACAAATGTCGGGAGGAATCTTGCCTTTGTTTGGGCTATCTGTAGATGTGAGTTCATTATCAAGCAGTTCTGCGCCCGTGACTGCCTTTATTTTCGATAAAGTAATGCTTTTTTAGGGGTGTCAGTAAGTAATAACCTTGCCTGTGGACAGATATCGGATATGGTATTTTGTAAAATACTTCCAAATTTCTATTATTAATGAAGGGCTTGTAGTTTGGCTCTTTTGGGGGCTTTTTTTTTACTGCCTTTTTGGTGAGGTGAGGAGGAGGAAGGCACTAAATCTGACCATTTACTAGAAATGGTGATACGTAGCATGGAACGCTATTAAAGAGGTTATGTTATCTCCTAGGAACAGAGAATGCTGCGGTCAATGGGAAATCAATTTCCGATGGTGCTACAGTAAATTTGTCTTGTAACTGGAAACTTTCTAATTGCTGTCCCAAGGGAACAGTAAGCTGAAAACCAGACAGATGGTTTCTTCCCCATTTCCCTTCTTCTTTGATTCAGTAGAAATTATTTCTAGCTTCCTAGTAACTTTGTGCATTAAATGTTGCAAATGTTTTAACACTATCATAGTTGCTCTCATTTGTACAGTAACTTTGCTGTTCAAAAGCCAGATGTTTTTTGGCAGGTTTTGAGAGAGATTTAAATCTGTCCTCTTTAGATTGAGCCATCACTTCTAACTGTAGTGTTAGCAATTAGTTTGAAGGAGAAATTGTTTTTTATTCCATGCTATGCAGCAGAAGGGTTGTATCTTTTTTTTTCCCTTCAAGTGGGGATTCAAGGAGATGGCTTTTTTTCCCCTGTTCGTTGAGACTTTCATTACTCACATCATCTGAAAAGCATTCTAGTGTCAAAGATACACCACAGTTTTCGTGACTTATGATTTTATTTATGATTTACAGTTAAAATTCAATAGGCTGGAAAGACCTGGTGTACATAGGTACTTTAGAAGGAAGATAGTGCCCCATTTCCTTATAAGACCTTTGGGAAATATTTGGTTGGGATGAAGTCTGTGAAAGTCAGATACATTGGAACATTGGCTTGCTTTGTTCTGAAAGTTTGGCTGAATGCAGGTGGTAGTTGTGGTGGGTTGACCCTGGCTGGATGCCAGGTGCCTACCAAAGTCGCTCTGTCACTGCCCTCCTCAGCTGGGCAGGGGAAGGATCATTCACTAATTACCATCATGGGCAAAACAGACTTGTCTTGGGGAAAGTAGTTTAATTTGTTACCAATCAAATCAGAGTAGGGTAATGAGAAATAAAAACCAAATCTTAAAACACCTTCCCTCTTGCCCTCCTTTCTTCCAGGGCTCAACTTCACTCCTGAATTTTGTCTGCTGCCTCCTCACCAGCAGCACAGGGGCACAGGGAGTGGAGGTTGTGGTCAGTTCATCACATGTTGTCTGTGTCACTCCTTCCTCTGCAGGAGGAGGACTCCCCACACTCTCCCTCTGCTCCACTGTGGGGTCCCTCCCACAGGAGACAGCCCTCCATGAAATTCTCCAACATGAGTCCTTCCCACGGTCTGCAGTTCTTGATGAACTGCTCCAGCCTGGGTCCCCCACAGGGTAATAAGTCCTGCCAGCAAACCTGCCCCCATGTGGGCTCCTGTCGCCACGGGTCCACAGGTCCTGCCAGGAGCCTGCTCCAGTACGGGGTTCCCACAGGGTCACGGCTGCCTCCAGGCACATCGACCTGCTCTGGCATGGTGTATTCCATGGGCTGCTGATGGATATCCGCTCCAGCGTGGTCTTCACCACGGGCTGCAGGGGAATCTCTGCTCCAGCACCTGGAGCACCTCCTGCCTCTCCTTCATTGACCTTGGTGTCGGCAGAGATGTTTCTCTCACACATTCTCACTCCTCTCTCTGGCTGCAATTGCTGTTGCCATTTTTTCCCCCCCTTCTTAAATACATTATCCCAGAGGTGCTACCACCATTGCTGATGACCTTGGCCTTGGCCAGTGGTGGGTATGTCTTGGAGCCGGCTGTCATTGCCCCTAATGGACACAGGGGAAGCTTCTAGCAGCTTCTCAGAGAAGCCACCCCTGTAGTCCCCTGCTACCAAAACCTTGCCACGCAAACCCAATACAGTAGTCTATGAAAACTAAATTGAAAAACATAAGTCACAAAGAGCTTGTTATGGTCAAGTTCCAGCTTCAGCAAAGAGCTGAAAGGCCTGCTTGAAATACTTTGTGGACTTGGAGGCTAAGAAGTGTGAATACAAGTGTGAGCTGTAGTGGAGCCCCTTGAAAACTTCTCAGTATCATTACATTCCTACAAAATGTAAACTTTCTGCTCAGGAAAAAAGTTGGGAACAAATTGTTCAGTAAGGTAGAAAAAGTCAACTTTCCTTATTTTGCAGCTACCTTTTACTTCAAAGATTTTTTAATTTTGTTTATTCAAAGTAGATACTTAGGTACCATTTACTCCTGATACTCGGGATCAGATAATATACCAAGTACTTATGAGCAAACAATATCAGTTACTAAGTCATGTACAATACCTGACACAAATTAGTTGCTAAATAACACATGATTATCCTAGTTGCTAATTGTTAATTTTACAAATATCTAAATACCACTCAGAATAATAATAATCAAATTAATTACTGGTTGGAATATCAATCCCTAAGTATTTGTTTGCATCATGATTTTAAAACAACAATGGCATTTATAATTTTGAATGCCGTGTGGTAAAATTAACATGAAATGAAATATATCTGGCCCAGAATTGCTTTTGTTTCTTCAGAAAACTGTTGCTTAATGAGAAATTACAAAACTTTCTCTTTTGAACTTAATGGGACTTTTCCCTGTGTATGTGCTTCTACATTGAGAGTTTCCTGTAAATTAAGATAATTATTTTCAACAAGAAACAAATAAGATTGTTATGAAACAGTTGATGAGCATTTGAAAATCTTCAAAGTGGTAGAACAATGTTCATATTTTATCTGCAGTGCAGGAAGTTATGGAAATGCATGGTTGCCTTTGGTGATAATTACTATTACAGTAGTATCAGATCTGTGAAATTTTGAAAATTCATGGAAAAGATTCTTAGCCATCAGAAGCTCTTTCAAAAATTATGAATGTTAGCAGGGACTTGTTTTACTGTAGTACCTGGGAGCCGTAGTCATATGCAAGGATGCAAAGGGTAAACCCAAAGGACAGACTTTTGCATTAGCTGGTTAGGATCCATCTCTAGTTCAGGCATGTAGTATCAGATGTTTACTTGCTATGCTGATATTTTATTTCTAGAAAACTACTTATATATCCCTTCTGTGGTTAAAAAGAAAGGGCAGTGTCTAGACTTCAGTCTTGTGGGTCTGGAATAGATCTACTTAAGTTGTGGGATGTGCAGAGTGGGCAGCAGGAAGCAGGCAAACTGGCTAGTCTTTTTTTTTTTTTTTTTTTTGGTCCAAAATAATTTCCCAATTTCAGTGCTTTGAAGTAGCAATACAAAATCTAACCTCTTGGCAGAGGAGAAAAACATGCTTCTGTATGTCTTTTCCCAACAACCAAGCCATTAATTTGCCTGTTTTCTTTTTGTCTAGCGTGTTTAGATGAAAACAAACTGGTGTGAAACAGGTTTTTAAATTAAATTAAAAGGACAGTTATAAAAGCTCAATTTCTCTCACCTCCACACTCGAGCCTGGGTTTTTAATTCAAGGGAAGTACTCATTTTGCCTTTGGGAGCAGCTGCTTGGGAAAGCAGATCTTCTAAATCATATTCTTTGCTCCTGATGCTCACTTTGGGTGTGTTACTTAGTATTGCGTTTACAAAGGGCTCTGCAGAGCGTCTGACAAAAAACAGTGATTACGCACAGGAACTGCTGTGTTTTCAGTTTTTTATATGTTAATACTCACTTGACATTTTCATGAAGCTCTTTCATGTGAAATGTGAGGTATAGAACATTTCCTGTAATAAACTTAAAACTGCTATAGGCTAAGTGACTTTGGTGTGAGGGTATGGAGTATATATATCTTCTTCATTAGAAAAATAAATTTAAGAAAAAAATAAGGTTTAAGTTGTTTCTAGAGGTGAATTAATCTGCAATTCTCATGTTTATAATTAAAAATGTGTACTATGTAAGTATTTTGAAGAACAACCCCTCTGAAATAAAATCAGGTTGATTTGTTGAAAGTCTTGTTATTATACATAGCTTTTCTTTTTTTGGACCGCTGTCTTAAAATACTTTTCTAATAGTCCTTCTTGTAAGAAAATGGTGCCCAAATGCAGATGAGCTGGTTCCTCAACAATAAGTGGGCAGTAGGACTTGTGGGGGTTTTTTGTGTTTTCTTTTTACATCTGTATAGTGTGTAAAATATGCCACATTGTGATGACAGCTAATTTTGTTTATTTTTGTAGGCTTGACCCAAGGACCATTTCATCCTGCAGGAATCAGTTAGCAAGATCTGCATAGACTTGTTCCTAAGGAGAAACATGTCTGAGATTGACTATGAGAAGTTAGCTGAAATAGGTAAATACTTTTTTATTCTACTTCAGATGGCATATGTGTAGAGTTGCAGGTGATTGAATAGAGCATCTTCAGTAAGTGAGAGGCTTCACCAGCATTTTGTAATACTTCTTGGAGTAATCCAATATGAGTTACAGCCACTGTACTGATGTGTACCCTATTAAAGCCATTAGGGTTGAAGGTTAGTTTAATACATGCAGCTTTTATGAATTATTGGTAGATGTTCCTAGTGCAATTCTAGGCTATTGGAATATCACCATCATCACGTTGTGGCACAAATGGGAGTCATTACTCCAAAGAGACAAGTATGAATGAGCACAGAGATTGCTGTATTATATGTTATCTCCAAAGATGCTAGTTGAGCTGAGCAATATGACCATGGCATTAGAGGCCTCATCATTTTGAAAGATCAGTGTTACTTTTTTTTTTTCCTTGGGTTTTTGAGAATGCCAGCCTGAAATGCAGAGCAAGGGTTTTCCAGAGCTCTGGCCCTGGCCCTCCACCTCAGTCTCCCTTTCCCTGTCCCTCACCTTAGCTCTGATTTCTCCATGACGTGTCTTTCAGCAGCAGCAGACTGGCTTTTCATTCCTAGGGCCTGATTCAAAATCCACTAAGCAATTTTGCTCTCAGCCTTGGCACGCTCTGGATCAGGCACCTCATGTTGTCTCCCAGCCTGGGTTGAACAGTGGTAACAACGTGAGTAGTAACAGATGAGCCTCTGCTATGGTGGAGCAGGGCAATAAAATCCTCTATCATTTACAGGAGAAAAATGGAGCTGAGGTCTTCCTCAGTTTGGAACAATGAATTACCTTTTTTATTTGTGTTTATTGTGAAACACCTCTTGAGCTCCAGTCCTCTTGCTCACATTTAAAAAAAAAACAACAAAACAACAGGAAAAGAAAAAGAATATGCAACAAATTATTTTACTAGATTAGGGTTAACTAGCTTTTCAGTAGATGTTGGGACTTCTTTAGGCCCTGTGAATAACTGCAGTACAAATGGGCATGTATATTTACTTTGCTCCTCTAGTTCTTTGCTACATCGCAAAGCCAGATAGCTTGATATGTATACTTTGCTTGCAAATCCTTACCCCTACTTTTTGGAAATGTGTCGATTTTTATGCATAGTACAAAATAATTTTTTACAAAAGGAGTTAGTCTCTGCCTCTCTGTACTGTAGGTAACATTGTATGTTTCTCTTGTGTTTAATGGAATATACATTTCACTTTTAATAAGGCCTGTTAAGTTTCAGTGGATTCTAGTAAATCATTCGCAGCTCCTGCTTCACATCTGCATAGACTGGGATTTTCTATTTCTTTTTCATTCTCCCCTTTGCAACTTTTTGTTACTTTAAGCGGTTACTGTGCTCAAATGTGGGGGGGGGGAAAAAACCTCACCCCACTCTACTAGACAAAAGACCTTATTCTGAATTTTAACATGACTTAAATATACAAAAAGGGAAAAAATGTGAAATTTATATACTGCAATATGTTTGTATTGTTATTCCTGGTTCTTGTGACAAATACATTCTTTAAAGTGAAAGAACACTTTTTCAGTTAAGGTTAGTGTAGCTTTTCATATATGTTACACTTTTAAAGGGTAGAAAAATACACATTTTGGAGATGCTAATAAGAGTTTTAACTCTTGTGTGTATGAGGAGGACTCTAATGGTGTATTTCTAAAAGCAGATATATATATATATTTTTTTTTCCTATAGGACTGATGATTTATTTTCTGAGGAGACTTTAATGTGAATTCAGACCTAAAGAAATGTAAAAGTAGTACATATGTTCCTGATTCTTCTTTGTCTTTGAGAAGCCTAGCCACTAGTGGCATTTTTCATCCTTGTGAAATGCATTTTTGGTACAAATCATGTTAAAAATAAAAATGAGACAATAAAGCTTTCATGTGGTTGTTTATAGGATAGAAAGATACTGGGAAGCTGTGAGTGGAAAGCATTCCAAAATACTTAGTAGGAGTTTTTCTCTAGCACTTATTAGCTACTGGCACATAAATCTGGCTGAAATCAATACTTAATATATTCTCTCTGTGCTAGTGTTTCTTGCGTGCTGGTCAAGACATATGAAATACACAGATGATCAGAAGGGAAAATATTCTTGAAGTACTTTTTAAAGTGACACTAATACTGTTATAGATAAAACTGTTAATTCTACCTTATTAAAACTTGCATGATAAAAGAGATGGATGATATAGAGGGGGTGGTGCACCTTATCAGAACATTAATTTTTTTTTTCTTTACGTGTACCTTTTCTTTTCTTAAGGCACTAAGACACTTGTGTGTTAATGTGTCAATATAATATTTTTCCAGTCAGTTTCTAGAAAACTATTCATTTGAATAGTGTAGGAGTGCTAGTGGTGGTAATCATCCCAGAATCTGTGTTCATCTGGATACGTACTTAGGATCAGCTCTCTTTGAACCTTAGCACAGTTTGGAAAACAAAACAAAATAAACAAACTCTTGAACAGCATTGGTTGACTTTGTGTTGCTCATTTCAGTGCAGAGTAGATTTTAACTCGGGGATCTAGTCCAGAAACTACTGATGTTGGGGGAACGGTGCCCATTGATTTCACTGGGCTTTTGAACAGACTTTTACACCTTGGCTTGGCCTCTAGCTGGAATATATGCTGGATCGGCATTTGGCTGCCTTGTCTATTGCAGCTTCAGAACGTTAAGGGATTTCAAGGAAACAGTGGGTTTTGCGGGAGGTGGGATGGAGATCTCTTTGCAATTTGCTACCTTTATGCAAAGTAATGAGTCGAGAGCGTTCACACGGGGTGTTAATGTGGAGTAGCTGTCAAAGCACGTGTTAGCGTACTGAAACTTTGACTTCCCCATATGGACAACCTTGAAGTAACAAGAAGCTGTAGATGGATGCAGCAAGCAGATTGTGGGAGTGTAGGAGATTATGAGAAGACAACAGCAGTTGTGAATAACAAGGTCACAGCATGCCAGCTGTTCGGTTATTGTTGAGATTTTTGTGAGCATCATGGCAGATAGTAATCTTAAGGAGAATGTGAAGATAGCTTTGAGGTATTAAAGGGTTACTTTCCCAAACGTGAGGAAGGGTAAAAAGCAAGAAACTGATTTGAAACTGCAGCAAATGGTGATAAAGGCCTGTGTTTTTGTGAAACTGAGATGAAATTCAACCCTTCAATAATGTATCAGAGGCAAAAGTTTTTCTTTGTTCATTAGCATGTAAGCATTCTTGTTTGCTCCTTCAGAACTGCAGAAAGATGAAGCGGAAGATACGTGGTCAGAACAGGAAGAAACATTTATGCCTCCACCACTTGAGGATCCTGAGCTAAATATCAATCACCCTTACTATGATGTTGCAAGACATGGCATCATCCAGTTAGCAGGTATGTTTGGAAAAATACTGCTGCTTCATGCTTACTTAGACCCCTTACCACATTTTTCTTACTGTACTCCTCAAGGTGATGCATAAGAATCATGTTGATGCTTTCAGCCTTCATCCTGAAAAGCAGCTGAACATACTATGTGAGCTCAGTGCTTTTCTACAGATGAATTATGAGCCAAATATTTGAGCTTAATCTTGCTTTAAAATATAACTATAGCAGTATATTATAATCTAAAGCCTAACTGTGGCTGTAACAGATCTGTACTTTATTCGTGATAAGCTGTTTTGTTTTCTGAATAACCTGAAGTGTGCAACTGTGAAGAGATACGGGTTACTGTATAAAAACTAGACAAGGCATAAAGGAAACTGTTGACATAAATGTTAACTGCATTTATCACCTGACTTTCTGTTGTGACATGGAGAGAAGCTATGGGTACATAGCATATTTGAATATTGGATCATTTAATGTTTACAGTTATTTATTTTTAAAACATTCTGGCAACATATAAGACAGGTAGGCATATTTATGATATAAAAGCATCTTTTTAAACTATGTATTGCATATTTTTTTCCTTTTGGCTTATTTTTGGCATCGATGTGCTTGTTAAAATGGGGTTAATCACAATTCTGAACTAAAGAAATGTATACAATAAGAGAAAAATAGCAGTATTTAACACTGCTCATCTTAATGAAGTCTAAGGTTGTGTATATTGTGCACACTTTTGTATCTCCTACTTCAGTGAGTCTAGATCATGATTTTTCCAGAAAACGATGAACCCAGATTGTACATATGCACTTTCCTGAATTCAAGCCATAAACAGGGTGTCATCCTGGTGAATATGAACTTTAGCAAAACCAGTCCTCTAGTGAGGTATGATTGACTAGGACAGTGAAATTCGTGGTGATTTGACTTCTGACTATAGCGAGAGGAGAATTTTACCCATAGTAGCTTCTCTTCATGAAGCTAGTTAAGGATAATAATTACCTTTTACCTTCTTCAAAACTAACCCCCCAACATAAGACTCAAATCCATAAACAAGGGAATAAAAGATTCATATTAATGCAATTCAAAAGCTACTACCTGCTTACCCACTAGGATGTTTCTCACTCAAGCACCAATTTTGGGATGGGGGAAGTACCAAGATAGAAAAGTTATTAATGAAACCATTGAGGTCCAAATGACAAAGTGTGAAATAGATGTGTTAACAGACGCTCTGGATACTCCAGAGTCACTGTAACTGTCCACCTAAGAACCTCTCCCGTCTGCTGTATTAGACAGTGCTACATGATAGTGCTTTAAAGGAGATCTTCAAGACTTTTTTTTTTTTTTTTTTCCTGCTGGTATACTCAGCATCAAGTTACGGTGGGCCATGTATTTACTGCTTCAACTTTAATCATGCACAGGTATTTAGTAAATGTTTGTTGTTGCTTCTCGTTCTTCATTCACTCAAAGCTGCCCTTGAAGTCATAAGCACTTGATATTTGTTTTAAATAATTAATTCTAAAGGGTCCTTGTGTGTTCATTTTCCTTGGAGGAACCATTGTCATTCTTGCAGCTATGGGCAGATCTGGCAGATGATGAGCTGAAACCCCTGAATCTGTGCTTAGACAAAGCTCCTCTTCTCCATCCCTCCATACTGGGAGCAAAAGGAACAAGCTGGCAATCTTACTAAGTTCTCCTCAACTGACCAATAAGACATTCCCTTCTGATTTATAAATAAATAAATAAAAGTTTACTTACTACTAAGGCAAACAAAAAATGTAATTTTCATAGTCTTGGAGGACTCTGTCGTTTCACTTGGAAGAGTTAAAATGGTGGGGGAACTCAAAAAAGGGGAAAATTTTGGAATGAGAAGATGAAATATACTGGAACAGTTCCTTTTAAAAATTCATGCTTTTACTGATGGTGAGACAGAGAACATGTGGTGGGGACAGAATGATAACCAGCCTGCCCTTTCCTGAGCAGTCCCGCCTGGCTTCATATTATGCATATGCCTTATTCCTGTGTAAGAAAATGGGAATGTGCTTCAGTACAGTGGAGTGAAAACCACAGTGTTTTTTAAAGAGACCTAGCTGTAGCATCCGTAGTTCCATCTTGGAACTTGCTCTGTATCAGGGTTTGCTTGGAATAAAGTGCAAACATTAGCTATACTCCTGGTTTAAATTCACTGAAGCAAATAGAGATATTCACGTCATGAATCTTGGCTCTAATGTTGGATTCTCTCTGATGGTTTTGTCCTTAACGCTGCAGCCCTTTGTATGGAAAAAGTGTCCCCTGCCCATTGTTTAAGCTCAGAAAAGAGTGACTTTAGCTGCTATTTCAGTCAGAAGTATATGATGGGGTTTTGCAAGTCGACTGGACAATTTAAATGCAAAGCACAAGCCAGGAGCCATGCTTCAGAAAGCAGTCTGCACCCTCTACAACAGCTCTGATAGTGGGATGTAAGAGAACTCAAAGGTGTACATGTGAATGCAGAAGACGGGGAGGGTGAAATATGATCCAAAGACATGCTTCACCTCCACAAAATGAGACCTCCCTATCCCCGGTGTTAACTGGTGTGGAGTCATGTTTGAAAGTTGTCTGGATTTAGATTTGAGTGAGGAAAGGATGAGCTCTTCAGATCTCCTTCCTCTTTTGGAAAGGGCCAGTACCTTTTGAAGGAAATAATTTTTAAATTATTTATACCTGTTTTATAATGATTTTAATAATTTCTTTGAATAAGACAAAGTACAATTTCAGTGTTTGGAATAGCTGTTCTAAAGCAATTCTGAAAGCTGTTCCTTCAGTTTTAATTCTGTGATTGAAAGACAATGAGATGGATTGTTTGAAATGAGTGAAGAAAAAGAAAGAATTTAGGTGGAAATATTTGCAGTAATTTATTCATCTTTTACAATGATTCAGTTTCCAACAGTTAATTTAAAAAAAAAAATCTAAAATTCCTTCTTGCATCTCACAAATTAAAATGACTTGTACCTGCTTTCCATAACAATAGCTTTGACTATATGCAAAGGAGATTTTTTGAGTTGTATTCATACAGTGTGAAAATACAATTAATTAAATAAGAATAGGGGACATTTTAAAAAGATGTAAGCTTTAATGATTGCTTATTCATTATGGACTGATTTATGTCACTAATACCAATGTGCAGCTGACTAAGCATATGTAAATGGAACAGTGCTGCAGTGCTGGTTCTTTTTATTTCTATTTTGAAGGAGAAATGTCAATCTGTTGCTTAAAAAGGAACTCAAGATTATTTTTCTTTTTGGCAAAAAGCTAGGGACATACAAGCATATATGATGCATCAAGCTTCCTTATTTTCTATCGTTTGCTTCTATAGTATGATTGCTGACAACTTTTTGCAGTACCTTTTTTGAATATTTGCTTATTTAGGAGGACTCTGTCTGTGATGCTTGTGTTTTCACTAACTGCCAGTGACATCCTTTTATGTGTTAGACAAAACTTTTTAGTGGAATCAAAGTCCATCATTGTTTTAAATCTTTATTTCCCTTCTTAGTCTTTTATTGCTCTATATATTTGAAGATTTCAGGTATCCATCCTGGGTCTTTGTAGAGACTGTCTGTATTTTTCTTCAAGATCCAGTTGATTTCATAGCCTCTTCTGATTTTGAATCAGTGCACTAGAAACTGATCAGAATAGTATTATGTAGATCAGACTGTGAAAGGTAAAGTTGTAATTTAGTTTTTGTAATACATAAGGAGAAACTAGTGAATTACCTAACAAGCCTAAGACACAAGTCCTAATAATTTTCAGTCCATCTCAGTGGCAGCTTTGCTACTTCTTGCAATACCTTCAGGAGCAGACCTGTGGTCTGTAAATTGCAGTGCCACAGGAAAGAACAGGGCTAAAGATTTTTTTTTTTTTCCTTAAAAGATTTACTTTGTTGATTTTTTTATTTGCAAAGGCTATTCCTGAATTCAGTATCTCTGACATTATTTCATGAGTACCCTTTTGGGAAAACAAAAAATCAACTGGAGAGGCCCAAGACTTGGGCACTTTTCAAGAAAGAATCTGAGGGCTCTGGATCATAACCTGTTTGCAGCAGAAGAGCAGATTTGTGGGCTTTGCACTTTACAAAGTGTGCCCTAACTATTTGGGTATTGTCATGTTTTTGTCTCAATGGTTATGAGAGGAGCTCCAGAATAAATGTTCATATTAATGAAAAGTATTCCCTGCTCTAGTGAAGAGGAAACTTCCCTGAGTGAGAGAAACAGGGGTTCAAATTCTTTAGGCAGGGGTTGCACTTGGGTTTTCCACATTCTGCACCAGTTTTGTTGCTTCTTTCTCCAACTATATTCTTCTCAGAATGTGAAAAGAAACAAATCCTTATTTACCAGATTCCTCTCTTTGAACATCAGATTGTAACCTGTAGCGTCTTTTTTAAAGGCATAATATGTGGATGGGCTTTCTTGTTGAATTTGAGAAAATATAATGGTTCTGCTTTAAACATCATTTAATAGAGCAACAGGCTTGCTAAAATAAACGATGGCTCAAAATGCCAAATTCGAATGTGAACTTAATTTTAGGTTTGGGTATCCTGACAATATACCACAAGTCATTCTGCACCTGAATATACCTTATTAAAAAGAAAAGCCTAGCACTATTTCCCCTTTACCGAGTAAATGTAAATTATATTCCCTTTCCTATTCTACTGTTTCTTTGCTAGCTTTAAATTTTCTTTTACACTTTCTGTGAATTATCAGAACACTTAGTTTTGCATGACTGAAAGCAGTTTTGATTTTCAGTACCCTTTTTAAGACTAGACCATTGTTCTAGTCCAGAGAGTCAGCCAGATATAACTGTACTGATATTAGAGAGGTTAGTTTCAGGAATGGCTTTAACTCACCCTTATTGTAACTTATTTTACATACTTCAAGAAGAGCACAGATAAAATGTAAATAATTAATTACATAAAAAAATCAGCTATTCTTTTGCTTTCGGATGATCTGAAGAAAATGTGCTATGTCATAAGTATTTTTCTT